CTTTGGTCATTAGAACCAGAGTTGGGTAAGGGAGTTAGTTACGTGTAAAGGAAGTGTTAGTTCCTTTACGACGCCCCTTTCGGGTTCCCTATGATAGGCCGGCTAATTTGAGTAAATAATTAAACTGGAAAATAGCGCTTTTACCCTTTTATTATGCGGTATTTAGAGATTATGACTACATGGCCCTAGTATCTATTGCATACATTTAAATGAAAGCGATAAAATTAGAAGGAGAGAGAATGTGCACCTCCAAAGCAAGCTTTTTATATATTTCTCTTTAAAGAGAGGGTGCGTTTTGGCAACCCTTCACTCTACAACTCTCAGAAACTCCAGAAATGCCTCGGAGGGATTCTAAAGAAGATTTAGAACGCTCAATTTATGCCTAGAGACACTCAGAAACTCCGGAAATGCTTCGGAGGGATTCTAGAGAGAGAATATCTAGAGAGAAGGAGGAGCTACTGTGCTTGGTGTGTTCAAATGAGGGGGGAGGAGCCCCTATTTATAGTTTTTCGCGCTGTCAGGGTCCAGACCGCCGTTCTCGTCTGACAGGGTCGAGACCGCCGTCTCGTAATTCGAGACCGCCGTCTCGTTCGCGTCAGAGGGTCGAGACCGCCGTCTGGATAATCCAGACTGCCGTCTCGACTTGGCGAGAATCGAGACCGCCGTCTTGTTTTTGCGAGTGTCGAGACCGCCGTCTCGATTTTCCAGACGGCGGTCTCGTCCTGGCGTTAAAACGAGACGGCGGTCTGGTATTCCCAGACGGCGGTCTCGTCCCTTCAGGGCGAGAAACTTTATTTTCGGGTAAAAAAACCTTCCTATCTTGGTACGAGAGCCTAATAGTCTCTCCTAATGGCTTGTTAAGCTCCGGCCATCTTCAAATAGGAAGCTTTCTGACTTTATTTGGAGGCCGGGCAAGATTTGGGGTCTACAGCCCACATGAGCATGCTCATCCGACAAGGCGCCGAGTGGGTCTTACACCCTTTCCTTACTATGACACTCAACATCCACAAGATGGACGCGTCAGAGTCGCAGGAGATACCCGTCCCTCCGGAATTCTAGCAGCAGCAGTAGCAATACGGAGATGAGTTTGCCAGTGTAAGACATAAAAATTAGATCCTTAGGGAAACAAAAATTCCCCAATAGATCATAAAAAAGGAAAGCATATCCCTAGTGAGCCTACTGCAAAGACAATCCTCATAGTCATATCCTCAGAGAGTCATTCGCCTGCACATAGGCAATACCTGTCAAATAAAGAGCCAACATCCCCAAAGGGAATATCAGCCTGTTCAGAGGCAAAAGATTAGAACCAAGAAAGTCTTCATTTCAGATGAAGCATCCACCCACTCAAGAGGCATCATCAGAATCAACAAATCCCCAATGGATTCCTGCCTACCCAAGAGGCATTTATCAAAGAATCCCCAGCAATCAACAAGCTGGATGGCTATCACAAAAAGCCAAAATTAAAGAATCCCCGACACGCCGGACAAATACTCAGACTTCAAACAAAGACCACTCCATATGGAGATAGCGCATGAACAATATCAGTAAGTTGCTACCACATAGTTCAGTCCAAGGAAAGGACTTCAAATATAGATGGGGGGTGCGTACTCATCCAACCCTACAATGGTGGACTGCAAACCAGACGACGGTTCGTACTTGTCAAACCAGATGGGGGTGCATACTCATCCAACCCTACAATGGTGGGCTGCAAACCAGACGGGGGTTCATACTCGTCAAACCAAATGGGGTGCATACTCATCCAGCCCTATAATGGTGGACTACAAAACCAAATGGGGGTTCGTACTCGTTAAACCAGATGGGGGTGCAAACTCATCCATCCCTACAATGGTGGAATGCAAACTAGATGAGGGTTCGTACTCGTCAAACCAGATGGGGGTGCATACTCATCCAACCCTACAAAGCGGACTGCAAACCAGATGGGGGTTAGTACTCATCAACCACAAGGGCACCTACCACGCCAAATGGAGCTTCACATTCATCATCCAGAGGGTCATCTACCACACCAAAGGAGCATCCGAAGGACAACCGGGCAAGAGGGTTAATTCCTTCACCTGCCAGCTAGTCTCTTGGTACATTAACCAACAATCAGTTAGTCAGGTGAAGGGGGGGGGGGGGGCAGTTGTAGACCCCAAATCTTGCTCGGCCTCGAAATAAGTTCAGAAATCCTCCATTTTGAAGATCGTCAAGACTTTAATAGGTCCCTAGTAGCATTTTATAGGTTCCATTTAAGATAAGGAGGGTTTTCTAAGGAAATAAAAATAAAAAATTTTGTCAAAAATGTCGGATGGTCGTCCAGGCTAACTAGAAGGTCATCCATGCCTATTACCAAGCAATGGACGACCATCCATTTGAACCAGACGGTCATCCATGCCTACTTTAAGCCATGGACGACTGTCCATGTTAAATAGATGATCGTCCATGCTCATTTTAGGCCATGGATGACCGTCCACTTAAGCCCAATGACCGTCTGATTTTCCTGGCTCGTTTCCCCATAAATAGGACCCCCATTTCCCTCATTCCACACACCTCACACTCTCTTATGCTCTAGAGAACCTATTTTGGGACTTCTGATCAGTATTCCAGAGTACGAGTGATCATTTGACACTTGAGGAGGTTAGTTCTTAATTCTTTTGTTCGAGGAATGTCTGTATAGAGAGCTTACAAAGAACCTGAAACCCGACTAGCTAAAATGAAGACTATCCGAGATAAAAGGTGATTATGTTTTCACGTATTTCGATTTTTGTTTTTGTTTATGTTGTTGTATTCTTATTGTATGCTAATGCAAGCAAACAAATGTAACAACCATATGCATAAACAATTCACTCATCTGCGAACAGAGTGACGACGTTTCATTATGAGGTAGGGGTATCCTGTAGAAAAGTGTGTTTTCAAGGTGGTTCTAACTGTTCTCACCAAGGCCAGGCCCCCAAGGTGCCCCCATTATGGGGTTCCCACTCTCTCAGCCCTCAGACCATGCATGGCACTAGGGTCGTGTTGGTCTTTAGGCCAAAAGAGGAAGGTTATAACCTTGAGTGGTGGTTTTTGACCATATCAGTGGGCACAAGGCCCTCACTCGGCAAATCGTACCTGCCACCCACTCCCTCAAGTTATCCCTCATTCCCCCAGGTATAGGGGGAACTGTTGTGCAAAAAAATTTTGTACAATTGTTATTTCAAACAATTTGCAGAAGATAAACATACAACAGTTATTAAAGCCATAGAATAAAGCATGTTGTAAATACAAGGAAGGGTAAAAACATAATTTCATGTTTTTTATTTCTTGAACTAGTCCATCACTAAATGATATCAACTCTCTAGCTTCCCCAGTGGAGTCTCCATCTGTCGCCACCGTCAAAACAGGCAGTCGGAGCGATGCTATGGTTTTGATGACTCGCATTTTCTAAATAAGTGGTCAACGCTTTTAGATTGTCTGATAACCGGGCTGAACCTAGAAGCGAGGTTTTTGTAAATAGGTTCTATGGAGTCGCCACCAATGTTTTAACCTTAAACACTGAAAAAGGAAAAAGGTGTTGGTTTTAGAAAAATCCAACTTTGGTCATTATAACCAGAGTCGGGTAAGGGAGTTAGTTACGTGTGAGGAAGGTGTTAGGCACCCCACAAAGCCCCTTTCGGGTTCCCTATGATGGACTAATTTATAAAATAAAGACTGAAAGAAACAATGTTTTTACCCTATTTATTTATCTATTGGCAGAATTTAAATGTCTACATGGTTGTAGTATCTAATGCATACAAGGAAAGTAGTAAAAGGAAGGGAATAGAGAAAGGAACCTCTGAAGTAAGCTTTTTTTATAATCTTCGAACTTGAGGATGCTTTTTGGTGATCCCCTCACTCTACAAGCACACTCCTCACCAGCAAAAGAGAAAATACCCTCCTATCGAGTGCCGGAATTCTCAAAGGGAGACTTCCTTAACCAATGTCTAGCTTAAACGAAAATCGGAAAGCTTACTCAAACTCTGGAAAGTGCTCAGAGTTATCCCGAAGTCTTAGGAGAGCTTCTAGGATGAGAGAAGGGTGTGAGAATATGTGAAAATGGGGGAGGGGAGGCTCCTATTTATAGGAAATCGTGCCAGATAGGCTAGGACGACCATCTAGACTTCTGACAGCTGGGATGGGCGTCAGGGATTTCGAGACGGCTATCTTAGACTTAAGGGAAAATGGGATGGTCGTCTAGGAAAGTGGGACGATCGTCCCGAGCCTATGATAGATTTTCCTTTATTTTTTCTTATTTTTTCCATACAGAAAGCCCTACTATCCTCACATGGAGCCTAGTGAACATTACTAGAGGCCCAATGAAGGCTTGTCCATCTTCGAACGGAGGATTTTTGGCCTTTATGGTGAGGTCGAGCAAGATTAGGGGTCTACAGCTGCCCCCCCTTCACCCGTTTGATCGGTTATTGGCTAATGTGCAAAGAGACCGGCTGGCGGGTGAAGGAGTTAACCCTCTTGCCCGATTGTCCTTTGGATGCTCCTTTGGTGGGGTAGCCGATCCTCTAGACGATGGTTGTAGTGTCTTCTTCAAAGTTGACCTCAGGGGGTTCCCTTCGACCTTGTGGTGATGAGTATGAACCCCCACCTAGTTTGAGTCGTCCTCAGGATGCCCCTTTAATGTGGTAGCCGATCCTGTGATGGTAAGACTTATTCTTAGGATGCTCCTTCAATGAGGTAGCTGATCCTTTGATTTGTAGGATGCTCCTTTGGAGAGGTAGCTGATCCTTTGATTTGCAAGATGCTCTTTCAGAGAGGTAGTCGATCCTTCGATTTGTAGGATGCTCCTTCGGTGAGGTAGCCGATCCTTCAATTTTGGAGGATGCTCCTTCAGAAAGGTAGCTGATCCTTTGATTTTGGTTTGATGCCCCAGGATGCTCCTTTGACGTGGTGGCTGACCCTTCGGCTGATGTAAGTGTATATGGGTTGTGTCTTCCGGATACTTCTTTGCTGCGGAGCTGATCCTTCGGACGATGCATGTAAATCCTTCCTTCAGGATACTCCTTCACAATGGAGTTGATCCTTCGAGCGATGAAGGTGGATTGTGTATTCCAGCTACTCCTTTGCTATGGAGCTGATCTTTCAGACGATGTGTGTAAATACTGCCTTCAGGATACTCCTTTGTTGTGGAGCTGATCCTCCTAACGGTGGATATGGAGGTATTGTCTTCAGTATACTCCTTTGCAACGGAGTTGATCCTTCGGACGATGTATGGAACTTTATCTTCTAGATGCCCCTTTTTTTTGTGGTGGCTGATCCTTTTGATAGAGAAAGTGGTGGCGGCTTACTATTCTTGCTCATGCGCCGACTCCATGGGGAGTAGTTGTGTTTAGACTTTGTTGTAGTCATCCGGTGTACCGGGGATTTTGGTTTTTTGTCATTTTCTGATATCCATCCAGCTTGTTGATCGCTGGGGATTCTTGATTCTTTTTGGGCTTTTTTCGATAGCCATCTGACTTGTTGGTTTGCTAGGAATTCTTTTTTGGCATTTCTAATAGTCGTTCGACTTTGTTTGTTGTCGGGGATTCTTGATAATTGCATCTGATGTAAGGAGAGATCCAATGAAGATTCGTTGATTTTGATGGTGCCTTTGAGTAGGCAGATACTTCATTGAGGTTCTGGTAATGCCTTTGAAAAGGCAGTGCTTCATCGGAAGTGAAGACTTTTGGCTGCATTATTTTGCCTCTGACTAGGCTGATATTCCCTTCGGGGATGTTAGCTCTTGCTTGCCAGGTCTTGCCTATGCATAGGCAAGCGACTCTCTGAGGATATGAATTTGAAGATTGCCTTTGCAATAGGCTCACTAGGGGTAAGTTTTCTCTTTTTGACGATCCACCAGGGGATTGATTACCTTCATGGGGATCTAATGTTGATGTTGATGCGAGTTGACCTTGTGAAGCTCTAATTCCACTGGGGGATAGGAATTTTTGATTCATTATTTTTGTAGATTTTTCTGGTATTATCCACTAGGGGATTTTATTCGGCCTTCTTTGTCGTGGCTTTTTTTTGGTCATCTGCTGGAGATGAAGGGTTTTCTTTTCTCTTCTTCTTTTTTGTTGAACCCTTGAGGGTATGGAGGTTTGCCTCCTTGATTACTTTGGGTGATGGGCTTTTTGCATAGCCTTTATTCTCCTTTGATGAATGTGGTGGAGAATGGGTGAGTATGCTTGCTGACTCATGTGACAGCGATGTTGAGTCGTGCGAAACTATTTTTGTTTGCCTCTGGAGTAGGCAATGATCCGCTTAGGGATATTTGAGCCTTTCCATTGGCTTTTCTATTGATGATGGTTGTGCCTTCTTTTTCTTGGTGGAAGGATGGCGGTTGAAGCTTTGGCTTTTGGAACTCTTATTTTGCTTTGAGGCGACTTGCTCTACTTTCTTTAGGAAGAGCATTATTTGGAGACTTGGTCTCGACGCTTCCTGTTTTTCAACCACTAACATGGAGCTAGGCTCCTTACATGCATGAATTTTGTTTTTGTTATTTACTTGGAGAGATTTTTATTTTTTATTTTTTATTTTGACAAAGTCGTATTGTGCGACTATTTGTGTGTGGATGCCCTAGATGCAATCTATCCTTTTATGAGATGCATATAGAAAAGTGGTCGGCATTCTCCTGCTGGACTTTTATGATCATGCAGATGGGCTCCTCCTTTATTCATTTTTTTATTAGGCCCTAACTTTTGCCTAGACCACCCTTTTGGGGTTTTCGATCTAGCGGACTGCCTTAATTTTTTCCTAGGATATCTTAGCGGACTTTTTCCTTTTTATGAATGCCTTAACTTTTGCCTAGACTGCACTTTTGGGGTTTTCGATCTAGCAGGCTGCCCTAATTTTTGCCTAAGAATATCCTAGCAGGCATTATTCCTTTTTATTTCCATTTTTTCTTTTTAATGCTCCCCTACTTATGATGCATGATATGATCTTGACAAAAGGACTCTGCATATATCTATGATTTATCAATGTAGAGGAAATTTCATAAACTGGCAAAGAGAAATGAAATGAATGAGAATTTTATTAATATGTGTCGCCACCGTCAAAAGAGGCGGTTGGAGCGACGCGATGGTTTTTTATTGACTTGCATTTTTTAAAGAAGGTGTTCAACGCCTTTAGGTTGTCCGATAACTGGGCTGGACCTAAAGGGGAGGTTTTCGAAAAGGTTCGATGAAGTCGCTACCAATGATTTTACCGTAAACATCGAAATATGGGTAAGGGAGTTAGTTACGTGTGGGGAAGGTGTTAGCACCCCACAACGCCCCTTTCGGGTTCCCTATGATGGACTAGTTTATAAAATAAAGACTAAGAAATTATACCTTTACCCTATTTATTTATCTACTTGCAGAATTTAAATGTTTACATGGCCTTAATGTCTAATGCATACAAGAAGAATAATAATGAAAGCAGTAAAAGAGAGAGTAGATAAGAAACCTCTGAAGCAAGCTTTGTAATAAAATTCTTGAAGATTAAGGATGCTTTTTGGTTACCCCTCACTCTACAACGCTGCTCACTCCTCTATCGAACGCAAGGTTATAGCAACAAAGCATCTAAAGAGAGTGCTCGAACTCCGGAAATGCTTCAGAGTTGGCCTAGAGGAAACTTAAGAAGGTAGGAGAGTGTATTCCAAGGCAGAAATCTCGAATTCTGTGTCAAATGAGGGGGCGAAGGTCTATTTATAGGAAATCGCGCCAGCCAGGGCGAGACAGCCATGTCGCCAAGTGGCGAGATGACCGTCTCGCCTCATGAATGGCGAGAAGACTGTCTAGCCAAACGGGACGGCTGTCTCGGCTCTTAGCGAGGGTTCTCTTATTTTTGCATACAGAAGGCCTTCCTATCCTACCATGGAGCCTAGTAAACATGCCTAGGGACCTAAAGAGACCTTATCCATCTTTTAACGGAGGTCTTCTAGCTTTTTTTGTGAAGCCAGACAAGGTTTGGGGTCTACAGCTGCCCCCCCTTCATCTGAAAGATTAACCATGGGTTGGTGTGCCATAAGGTCGATTGACGGGTGAAGGAGTTAACCCTCTTGCCTAGTTGTCCTTGTAGACCCCAAATCTTGCCCGACCTCATAATAAAGACCAGAAGACCTTCTATTCGAAGATGGATGAAGCCTAAGAAGCCACTAGGAGAGACTATTAGGCCCCATACTAGGATAGGAGGGATTTTTGGCAAAAAAAAAAGGATTTTCGCCTTTTAAGGTCGAGATCGCCGTCTCGCCTTGCGCAGGTGGCGAGACCGCCGTCTCGTTTGGCGAGACGGCCGTCTCGACCTGACAAGCGCGAATCCCTATAAATAGTCGCGACATTCCCCTCATTTCACACAGTTCTTCCATTCTCTCTCTAGACATTTCTTCAAATTTTCTTTCTAGAACCCGTCTGAAGCATTTCCGGAGTTTCTGAGAGTTTTCTAGAGTGTTTTATAGTGTTTTCGAGAGGTTCCGGTGCTGTAAAGAGTGGAGGGCTGCCAAAAAGCACCCTAATTATCAAAGAATTAATAGAAAGCCTGCCTCGGAGGTTTCTAAACCATCTCTCTACTTTACCGCTTTAATTTCAATTATGCAATAGATATTAGGGTCATGTAGTCATACTTTTAAATTCCGCAAATAAAGGGTAAAAGTGTATTTTTGTCAGTTTATTTATTCAAAAGTAGTTGACCTATCATAGGGAACCCGAAAGGGGCGTCGTAAGGGAACTAACACTTCCCTTACACATAACTAACTCCCTTGCCCAACTCTGGTTCTAATGACCATAGTTGGTTTTTCAAAAATCAACGCCTTTTAACTCCTTTTCTGATGTTTCCGGTAAAAACATCGGTGGCGATTTAACTCCTTCAAAAACTAGTTCTTGGTTTAGCCCGGTTATCGGACAATCCAAGAACGCCCTTTCGAAAACCTCGCCCCTAGGTTCAGCCCGGTTATTGGACAACCTAAAGGCGTTGTAACCACACCAATAAAAATGCAAAAATTGGAAAGTCGGAACCATTGTGTCGGAACCAGTGGCGACTCCATTGGGGAAGCCTAGAGAGTTGATCTCATTTAGTGATGGGCTAGCCTAAAAATAAATAAACCAAGAAAATTACGCTTTTACCCTACCTTGTATTATAACATGTTTTAATACTTGGCTTTAATAACTGTTGTTTGTTTATACTTACGCAATTGTTTGAAATACAAACTGTACACAAACCCTTGCACACAACAGTTCCCTCTATACCCGGGGGCAAGTGAGAAATCCATAGGGAGTGGGTGGCAGGTACGGTTCGCTGTAGTGATGGCCTTGTGCCCACCGGTGTGATCGGAAACCACCACTCAAGGTGATAACCTTCCTCTTTTGGCACAAATACTGACTATGGCCTTAGTGCTAAGCATGGTCGGAAGGCTGGAGAGTGGGGACCCTATAATGGGGGCACCTTGGGGGCCTTAGCCTTGGTGAGAACAGTTAAAACCTACCTTCGCCAAATCACTTTTTTGCAGGAAAACCTTACCTCGTGATTAAAACGACTTCTCGCCTGTTCGTGGATGATCGAATTGCATGTGCATCTGTTTGTTGCATTTGTCTGTTGCATAGCATAACCAAAAACAAAAAAAAAACAAAAAAAAAATCACAAAAAATACTTTTTCAATAAACACCCTTATCTCGGACAGTCTGCCTTTTAGCTAGCCTGGTTTCAGGTTCTTTGTAAGCTAAGTAGCCATGCAGTCCGGCAGAAGAGATAAGAGGCTATAAAATAAAATAAAAATCAAATAAATAAAAAATCCGATTCCAAAACCATAAATGGGACCTGGTTCAAAAATATTACCCTCATATAGGTAGTTTATTTTTCAAAAAAATATGCAAGTATCATACAGAACATGATAAATAAAAAATAAACACTCTCATTCATTCAATAAGCATCATTTTCATAAAACATGCATTTTGGTTTTAGAAAATGGAGGGGACTAGTAGACAACTGAGGAAGGTGGACATTCCCCGATACCATGCTGAAAAATTGGAACGGATTTGCACGGTAATGCCACCGGAGGTCCGCTCCGACTTTGAAAAATCCTATGGACGGATTCTCGACCTGCTAAAGATCTGTGTCGACCAAGTTTTTGTCAGGGTATTAGTTCACTTCTGGAACTCCAGTCTGCGCTGCTTCGAATTTTCGTAGTTTGATATGGTGCCCACCTTGGAGGAGTACGAAATCATGTTGAAATGACCCAAATCAGCCGGAGTCCATATACGCCACGGGGCATATACTCCTGCAGCACAAGTCGTTGCCATCATTCAACTACCATTCCGGCAGACTACCCTGATAGGAAAAGGGAACACCCAGGGTTGGAAGGTCTCAATGTTAGAAGACC